CGAGACCACCAAGTTTCATGCAGCTCTAGCCCCATTCCCACGCTCTACTCCTACATTTAAATCTCTATTGAGAAGTTTTAGTTATAACCCAAGTTTTGCAGCTAGGGTCCATCGCTAGTAACATCCACATTTGCGTGGCAGAAGCAGTTATGTGTCCATGTTAGTTCTACTAGTGTTAGAGGCTAATGCACAAAGTACATGGAGAAAAAGGTTGGAGAGGACAGGCCCGGGGGGAGAGGAAAGAGAGAAAATTGCCTTCAGCCTCCTGGAAATTCTCAGGGAACGATGCTTCCTTCGCAAGCTCCTAAAAAGGGTTTGCAAACATTGCATAGTATAAACAAGAAAACCCCAACAAACCCTGGCTTAATAAAAAGGAACCAACAGCGTCTCTTTAAGAGACAAAAGCCACGGTGAGCCAATTCTTGGAACCTCTGGCAGAGAGATTAGCCAGTACATACCCTTCATTCAGAAGTCGATAAATGAATCCTGAGCAGCTGGCAGAGAAAGAGGAGGAGGATGAGATGGTGTGAAGCAGCACAAATCAACTCCCTCCTCAAGCAAACAGCCGGTCTACAAAGGCTGGATTTGGTATAGGGTGAGGGAGAGAACGAAACATGCCCTGTGTGTGGCACTAAGTGTCTATTCCAAAAAGGTTCTGATACGGCGCTCATCACTGTGGCGTCAGAGCACCTTCTTGTAGTGCATTGAGCAACACCACTAACATCTGCTGTGTGTTTGTTCTCTCATTCTGTCCCCTGGGGTAAAAGTCTGTGCAGTGGAGTGTTTTGAATTTCTGTATATTATAGCAACGTGTGTGTGCGCGTGCGCATATGTTTATGTTACAGAAGGGAATGTCAAAGACATGTGCCATGCATTTAGATCGGAAGGAGGAAGCAGATATCCACAAGGAGGAGCCATCAGTCCAGAGTAATCCCTGGGGTAACACCACTAAGTAAACTGCATCAGAGATGAATTTAGCCCAATTTTTGTATTCCAGGGCTGGGAGGGGCTGCAGGTCAGGGGTGAGGGGCACAATATCAGCATAAATGGGAATCACACATTGAGAGAAGGATGTATAGACAAAAGCCTGTGTGGGTCTGGTCAGCCAAGAGAAGGGAAGCTATGACAGTCAGAGGGTTTATAGATTCATAGATTCTAGGATTGGAAGGGCCGCAGTCATCTGTCCCACTTGCACAGTGTGTCATTATGAAATACCTTCCTGGGACAACTACACAGTATACAACTTTAAGGTCAAGTCAATTTTTAACTGTTCTTTTGATAGCTTCTTCAGGGGCTGTTTGAATAAAGCACTGTTCATTTTATCTTGAAAATGACAGCACAGTGTACCTGAGCTGGATGGAGGTGGGTGCATATGCCCAACCATGGGCATATGGATCTGTCAAAGAGGGCAAACCTTCCTTGTGGGCATGTATTGGGGTCTCTTTGGCTTGCTTGTGAGCATGTGGACAGAGACATGCGTGTATGTTCATGTATGAGTGGTTAGAGATGCTTACTTGGTACAGATCTAGATGGGGTATAGGCTGGGGTGACTATGTTTGGGCCTGTAGTTGTGAGGATCAGTGGAGGAAGAGGATGGGGTGCAGAACTAGAGATCAAGGCATTAAAAGGGTGTTTTTAAAATATTTATCTAAAAAAACCAGGCCAGTCCAAATGTGGCAGTACTGAGC